GAATGGTGAGAAGGCTGTTCACCTTCCTATTTTAGCTCGTTTACTTGGTCCATTTTCATTCATTCGGTTCTTTCAGCTTGCGTAGGTAATTTCTTCAGCCAAATACTACTCAAATGTAAACCTAGGTGGGACGCCACGAATCGTGATTACGTTCTGTTCGCCAAACTCTTGGCTAATAATTTCAGATATTCAAATATGTTTTGTACGATTTTCAAGGTTTTTGAAGTCTCCTTTTTACGTTTCCACTAGCGAGTACATCCACTCTGTGCTGAGGAATGAATAGTTGCATGCTATCCATGGTCTCCTTTTGTATTGGAAAGAATCTAGACAATGCAAATCAGAGAGCAAGCTTGCCTAACCAGTTGGACGTGCAATGTATTCAAAGTTGCACTGACCGCGATTGGCTACTGGATTATCAGAGTTGCATCTACATTTCCTTTGTAGTGTTTCCTTTGTTGGTCCAGTTAGTTCAAAATTTGTATCCTGTCGACAAACTCCGTAGCGGACCCATGCAGTAAGCCAGGTACCTCAAGATGACGTAACTAACAACCATGCTGCTGAACGGGGAGTGACACTGTAAGGTGTCTGTATGCAACTTAATCAAGCCTAGGAGCAACAGTTGATCCTTGTGCTCGAAAGGTTGCAAATTCAAACAGTTTTTTTGTTTTATTGAGCTGAAGTCAAAGGAGAGACGCATTTGTAGTAATTCGCAAATTCCTTCTGAACTTTAATGTTTCTTATTATCTGTCACGCATTCAGGAAGTGCTGCAAGCAACTGCCCTAGTTTTACGCGGCCTCATACAGCACTCTGAAAATCAAATGTTCTATCCCAACGAGACTTGTACTGTGCTCCGGTGCCTCTCATGAAACATTGACAAATTACAGAATAACTCAACTTCTAGCTTTTCCTTGACGTAAGCGTTCATAAAAAGGTCACATTTCCTAAAAATTGCTATGCTTGTAACGTGGGTGTATTAAACAGTGGTGCTCGCTTCTTTTACATTTTTGAAACTTTATATTTGAAGCCCTATATTCTACAGGTGACAGGTTATGAATGTTCAGGAGCGTTTATGCACGTAAAACCTGTTTTTTAGACGGTGTGTCAAACAGATTAAGCATGAAGTCGACTTCCAAAGCAGTCAAGTTTATGGCATGAAATTTCTTGCGCATCGACATTTCGATCCTCTAGCATTAGTACACACAGTACTTGAGAAAAACTGAATAGCTATGCCAATTAGTTCATGCCACTTAGTGGTAGTCTGGTAATGTATCCAATAAGCCAGAATTCGTCACGGGTGTCAACAGGTCAAATATGATCCTGTTAGATTGATCGGTCATTAACTGTGATAAACTCTCATTCATCATCACATAACTGAAAGGGCATTTCTGTTAAATGGCGTTCTTCCGCGTAATTTACTTGCTACTTAATGCACTTTGTTCTCCTTTGGATACTTCGTTTTGCTACCCAAACTTAACATCAACCGGTGGTTCGGCCGCATGACATAGGATCTGCAGCTTTCTAACTAGAACGAGCAGATCACCGCGCCGAAATAACCCATACTGTCTGCAGCAAGGTTACCAGAAGCTCACTGTCTATCTGTACCGTTCCTATTTATCTCTTTTTGTATATCTGTTCGGTCATAAACTCGCTTGTTGGGTCGAAAGTTCAGCTAAACTTCATGGAAACCTGACAGAACTAGATGGCTTATAACATGTTCCATGATGGGTATGAACTCATGATTTAAGGGCATTGATTTAGTACACCAGGTAATGTCTTTGTTTGATGACGAATCATCCTTTACTGGGGTTTCTATTGACGGATTTATTGGTTACATTTATGATTACCCCAGAGACAACTATCTGCCAAAGGAATCCTCACCAAGGGCCTTATATAAACTTTCATGAATTTGTTAAAGTAGTATCTGAACAGTATCTAGACGAAATTTTTGCGTTTGTTCAAATCGTGATCAAACCTGAGGTCCACCAGCAGTTCAATACTGTCCACATGCATTAAGCGTTTTGCGGTGGAGATTTAGCAACAGAACGGCATATCTTTTCTTGATGCCAGCCTCGTTGGGTAGAAGAGTACTGCCGCATAATTTACACAGGAAGACCAAGTCCCCTGAACACAAACACAGGTGTTAATGACCTAGTTTGACAGGATTTATAATGTCATCACAGGTGACAACTTGGACCAAGGTATACGCCTTTTGGACGATACACAGATCCATTGATAAATATCCTAAATACCAGTGATCCTCTCACAGTCACGTCAAAAATGTTACTCAATCTCTCCTATTTACTCAGAGGTGAAAACGTTTCCTCCGTAATCAGGCTCCGCTTTAATCAAGCGCTCCAATAACTGCAAAATGCTGCGAACTTATTGCTCGTTGTGAAGACAACACTACCGAAGAAGGATGCGCTATCCACGCAGTTTATGTCAGATGTAATGTGTCACTTTGATTGCACACATGGATCCATATATATAGGTCAAATGACGATGCATATCAGAAAGCTTCCGATAGCAAAACATGTTGCCGTCTACTAATTTAGCCCCTGTTTATGTGTACCGGAACAATTAATGATTAATCGCATTAACCCCGTATTAAACTGGCGTGGATTTCCTCATGGTGACAGACTTTAGTATTTTACCGTGTTCGGTTGACGCCAACTGGATTTTATTCCACGCGCTATTAAATATTGCAGTTTTTGTGTTTTGTTCCGCAATTTATATCATTTCGAATCCCACACATGCCCTCGCAACTGATGACAAACCGAATTAATCCCGGTAATATTTCATCCTTTGTCGCTGCTTGATTTATTCGCAATGGCTGTCTGCATGTGAACTGATCTATCTGACATGTCATTTGCCCCATGGACTCCAAGTAACACAAATCACATGAGAAAGCGTTGGGCAGTGATCAGAATCTTGATGCGCAAGCAAACCTACACCATAACTTTTACTCTTTTGCTTTTAGATTTGTTCCCGGGAAACTTTTCGTTACATAATCCCCTTTCTCAGGGGCTAACTGAGTGTCGGAACGGGACACAGCGAGTCAACTTGGAAAACAATTTTCCGAAAATGTTTTAAAAAGCAATGGTACATTTCGGACCATACTTAGCAAGGACTTCTGAATATAATAGTGGTTTCAAATTAATATGGACGTCCTGTTTATGGGATCCATTAAGTGTATTCATATGACGCCAGTAGGAGTCAAAAGGTACTGCTTGTTCTGCTTCCGGTGAAACGGTGAATGATAGCTTCCTGTTGAGTGGACAATTTATTCAAAGAAAGACTTGGAATACATGTCGGATCTCCAATCGGTTCAGCGGCGGTAGAAATGCTGACATCCAAAATGGAGCATGCACCACCACGAGTTGTTGCTGTTACTAGGTACGTGTTGACGATAAGTTTACATTATTTGATAACCTCATCGATTCTATTTCTAGGGTGACCCACCTAGGCATATCTCTTACATGCAGAATTATACAAGTGAATGGGCCACCCTTCCATAAGGTGGTGATCGGAATACATGGGTTGGTACACCTAGTTGAAACCATCGTCGACATAACAGCACACAGTTTCGAAGCTCAAATTCAAACGCCTTCCTCGACACTGTCTATGTCAGAACAGAGAGCATTTGTTAGCAACATTTGAATCGATGCAAAAGAATTGTTGAAAAAATTTACCAAACCATTTGGGCATCCAGAAAGATGTATGGGGAGAAACTTCAAAATGTGGCCTTCTGTGATAGCCAAAAAAGGAGGTGAGCACCGAAGCAACCCAACCTCTACCCAACTTCAAAAAGCGGAGTTATAATTCAGGCACAGCGCGATGGTTGTAGCTAACTTTTATGAGAGCATTTCTTACCTATTATTGAACGTGGCCTTGAAGTACTGTCTTGTCACTAAACAATATTCAAGGAATGAACTCTCTTGTCACACCACCTCAGCACGCACATTACACTGTTTTTTTCCTGGGAGCGCAACTAAATTGATCGAGCATATCTGAATATGTAGCCTCCCATTGAAGAAGGGATCAGATGCAACAAATTAGTTTCACACTAGCTCATGTTCTTGACACCAGATATGGAACTGACATTTTAGCTGCCTCTAAACCACTCTATAAACTACAAAGTTCTAAGAGGCAAGCTTCCGACAAACACACACACGACTGTCATTTGCATTGTTAGGTCCATCCTTTGTTTACAATAGTGCTTTCTTCAGACACTGAATTCCGCTCCCATAACTAAGCACTCACCGGCTTTACGTGAGACCACGAATCCCATGGACACTATCAGTCCTGACCTACGGTGTTGATTTATATCTCGACTAGTAGGAGTTATGCTCATCATTTTGATCAGTAAAACAGCAGAGGCTTCCCAGTTTCTTTTTATCCGTAAATAGTCTAATAATCACAAGTTTTGTCAAACAGGGTTTTGGACATAATTAAAGTTTTATGCATAAAAAACGGGATGTATAACACTGGTCCCTCAGAAGGCTGATTTACTTGTTCTTTTCTTTGGTTCTCCAAGGCTCATGGTAAAAACTACCGTTAGAAAAAGCGTGAATCTAAGCAAAATATAGGGAATAGACCCGTGATAAAACTACGCAACTGAATACATGAACTAAAAGGTATGTCAATTCTTCCATCCCTAGATTCTCTCATCCCCATAGAATTTGACCAGTCTGTAGCCTTAAATCAGTTTCGTTCCTTTCATCAGCAGTTCGAACTGCAAAATTGCTGACGAGTTGATTTTCTGAATCTAATTTGTTGTATAACTATTTAGCGATATTTCACCGTGATTCTCAGTTATACCGATTGGGACTACGAATTATTTCCAGCTTGTATCTATCTATCGCAAATACGCAAGTATTTTCTAGTTGAAGCTGACTGAAGAAATTTTCTTGCAACCATAAGTTGCTTCTCAGCTCTTCAAGTTTGCATTTGGGAATCTAAGAGCGATTGGCAGACCATTGTTTACTACAGTGTGACTTACTGGACTTGTCGGTGCATCCCCATGTGCTTGTTTCCTCGAGATTCGACCGTGTGCAGTGTGTTGATAACCCTGTAAGACGCACCGTCATCGGTAGTCCCATTATGGCGGCAAATACAAGTGGAATGAAGAATGATGGTGCATAGGCTATGCAATAGCCCATCCTGCAATACACTGTTTTGGTCAACAAGTGTTCACATTTGCAGCGGTTCAACTAATCCAGTCATGCTTTCATTATAGTAGTTCGTCCGTTGTTGTGAATAGTAAATTGCAGGTGATGTGAACCCATCAATGTGGGCAAACTGGCCGCACACGTCGTCTGTTGCTAAAACGGTCACAGGACCAGCATGAACGAAAATTTGATGAAGTAAGGTGCTACCAGAAGGAAACCGTTTTGACCAGTTTGCTAACATCTGTTGGCGCACGCGTGCGCATTCTGTTTCGCTTGCTTTCAAGTAGACATACGGACAGACGCGTAGAAGTAGGCAAAACAAAAGCATCACTGCCAGCCAGATCCTTCGGAAAACACACATTTGGTCGAATACAAACCAGCCAATTGGATTTCAGTGTTCGGTATAAATGTTGGGTTAAATTGGTCTACACACGCGACCGATCGGTTGTACGTTTTTGAGTGTGCTTGTGTGTGTATGCGTGAGAATAACACATTTCACAAAATTCCAAAGTGAATTTTTCACTCGGCCGTGACAGCTAGTTTTGTCAGGATTTTCGACGGGTAGTACAACATTCGTCTGTTAAGTAAAGCACATGTTTCTTCCAAAGCTGAGGGTTAAAGAATTGACTGACTGATGGTCTAGACAACTAGGGAAATGTAAAGAATAAGCTCCGTAAGGTATGTTCGTTTGCACTCAGTAAAGTAAAGATGGTGATTTTTAAGTGAAAATATGTTTTGTTCATTAGGATCTATAAGTTAGGAAACCTAACACAGAACTATGCCGCCTAGAAATTTCACCTTGTCTTTAGGTGATCATGCATGAGTGATGGAAGGATAGGCCCGGTATCTACAGGCGCTTCATTTTCGGGAGCAAAATTAGTGTATGACTTTTGAAGATGTTTAAGAGAATCTGCATTTATACATACGCCAAACCTAGTAAGCCTGACGGTTAAACAAACTCCCAAGCTCACTATCGAACGAAAGACTATGGTTTTTCGGTCATTATTTCGATTTCTGTGTCAACGAGACTTGTGGAAACACTTCGAAAACATCAAGAGACTTGATCGTTACACACAATCACATGCTAAATTAGAAACTGCTCAATAGTCAAATCCGAATTTTAGCACCAACAGCCTAAGGTCCGCTGCTACCTTTGTTATCATATTTTTTAAAAAGCTGTATACACATAACCGCAGAAATTTCACGTTTGTACATCAAGTGTGATTATTCGTTCCTCATTTCAGTCAGTGGCCATAGTCGATGGCACTTAAATACCCACTAGCCAATATAGTGGAGCACTTTTATGCTACTAGAGGGTATAAAGTAGTTCGTCAAAACTGCAGTTCCAAATACAGTGACCTCACCACATATCGAATTTAGACGCTTTAATGCTTAATATCTCATAACTATAATAAGGCAGAAGAGGCTCATTAGTGTTTTAATTCTCTAGAGATCAAAAGTGATCTGAATCTTTGCAATGTACCTATTCTATACGGATCACGGAAAAATGAGGCGGTAATGTGTGAATATTAATGAGAGGTAGCCGTTAGGTGAAGCACTTTGAATCCAGCATCAGCAGCACAGCCTGACGGACAACAACGCATGAGACATAGGAGTTTATTTATGTGCTTTACAGTCAGCAGCACACAAAATTAGCGGTGGACAGTTTTTTGCAGACACCCGGGAGACTCGTGGTCGCAAACGTCCTGCTACTAGCTGAACTATGATAAACGTAAATCTAGACACATTATAGTGGATGCATTCTTCATTCACAGAATTCACACAACAAAAGTATAAAATTGCTTTGAATAGCGCGATTTCCCTTGTGTCACATTTTCTTACCCTGACTCTTTCCGGATGAATCATCCGGTTTTCCGAAGTTCTATACATACACTTCAAGTATGGTAGTACTTTGTTACCCACGGATACCAATGCCTGTACCACAAAATCCACTATCTTCTTAAAATGCGGAATTCGTTTGTAAGAAACCAGTCAATTTGCTCGTTTCGTTTAGCAACTTAAACCCTTTTATCTTTGAGCACAGGGATGCCTTCTATATCCTAATGGATGGTGCCTTCATATGTAGATACGAACTTGTCATTTTAAGCCATGCTGAAGGTAGTTTTTATTTATCGCACATCAGCTCGAAATGATGCGCAGCGCACCACCGAACATTCCGATTAGGATGATGCATATACCCACTACTTCTGAGCCCTATATGGAGGGCTTAAATCTGGGTTCGTTAAACCACTACCTCAGTGCATCCTGCAAACAGTAAATTGTTGGTTTAGGAAAATAAAATATCCCCCAAATCTTTATCGTTGCCACCGGCATTGGGTGAAGCTGCCAAAACCGGATCACATGTCAAGAAGTGGATGATAGGAAAATTTGATTTTTCAGACAGGTGTCAATTATCATACTGCTGACCAGCAGCCTGTAGCTGATTATGGTTTGTTGCCTTAAAATCTCGTCAATATCCGTCAGTTGGGCACTACTGGTGTAACAGTGAATACTACTGATGAGGCATGCGAGTAGTGTCTTCTCGTACGTCCGCTTCACCTCTCTTGAAAAATGAGATCTATGGCGGAATTTGTGGAGTCGCTTTATAGCGTTTGCTTGCATTTGAGTAACAGTCAATGAATATCCAATAAAGCTCAGGAAGACGAGTTCGGGGAGAAGATGGATATTCAGTTTTGAAACAAGATGCATGTGAGAAGTTTGCTCCCCTGTCCACTAGTCTGCAACTGGTCAGTTGGTGTTTCTCTAATAAATAGCTTCACAGAGAAGGCCTTCCTCCTTTCGCTGGTAGTTTGAATCCTTCAAACTTCATCCGTATTTGGTCGATCTGTCGGTGAATGTTTAGTTGCTCAACACGTGAATTCTACAGTCAGCCTGTGATTTTGAGATAGATGGTACATGCTATGATTTAGTCTAAATGGTAACTTATTTTGAGTGTAGGCCGAATGCTAGGACGAAAACTAAAGACGCGTACCGGTAGAAGTTTGTGAAATCAGGATCAATAAAGAACTCTACCTAGCTCCCCTATAAAATACTCAACAATATTTAGCGATACTAGTTTATTCAAATGTCGCAATGTTTTGCCGGATTTATCAAGAAAACCGCTTATGAATTATATGCTGGCATGCCTCTGCGACAGGAAATGCTCTTTTTGGAAACATGGATGATATAGAGGATTGCACTATTATTAAAAGTTCAGTTATTTATTCCTAAAAGTGCTGGAGGAAACGGCATGACGTGACATTCCGGCTACATCAGCTTGATCTATCTGGGTCTCAGAAACAAATGTCAAGGAAGGTTTTTAAGGCTCCTCGGTATACCAGTAGAAAGTAGCCCGAAAACCGCACTCTTCTTCTTAACATCACATTAAACCTCAACCAAAAAACGAAAGTTATTTTGATCCCTGATCAGCCAATTCATGTGAAGTTTGTCTTTTGTCAACGGCCCTCGGAGAAAGCAATCTGCTGCCACAAGATAGTCGCAAATCATGGTATTAAGTCGTTATGACAGTAAAATTCAGAAAACGGCCTCAAAAAGAGGCGAAGTGATCTAGACGACTACACGCAGCATGAAACGCGTGACATGTTTCAACACCCAAGTGAACGCTCGACGTTCGATTCCTGTACATCGGAAAACCAATACCTAGGAGGTGTGTTCAAGGAGTGACTCAGTGGTCAAATCTCACAGCACTAGTAAAATGGAAAGCTACACAATAAAATAACGAACACAAAATCCACATGTCCCATCTAACGGATATAGATTTATTGTCCAGAAATGGGCATAACATAATCAATCCATTACTCCACAAGCACCTTGACCGTATTGATTCCTTCCAATTTCGCATCATCAAGGTCTACTTTATTACGGTACAGAAAAACGGTTTATCAGTAGAACATACACGCTTCCACGGACAGTTCCAGCATCTTTTATGGTTAGGTTTCCAGCGGTGTTTTTATTGATTTGCTCACCCAACAATAAGACATGAATGGAAGGGCCCATCTATATTTATGACAACGAAAGCTTGTACTGAGACAAGTACAGAGTAGGATGGGGGTTGTCTATTAAAAGATAACAGGAACTTGACAGTTTTCAACTAGTTGACACGAGACAATGAGAGGTGGTTGTGAAAGGGCGGTGAGCCACCAAGATTACAAGCTTCAGATGGAGGAGTAAGCGAAGGTCGCTTGGAGGTTGAAGGATTAGGATTATGATCTGTAGACAGTAGAAAAGTTGAATGTAGCTGCATTTTATTAACCTGATACAAGGTTGAATTTCACTGTACTGATGTTATGTGTGCGCTTAACTATGGCTGAGCGGATCGCTGAGATTTATGTGAGATGCAGCTACGGAGAGTGAAATTGCCCAAAACTGATTAAATAATACTGGAAACGGATGGAAATGGTTCAATTGTGAAGAGCGATAAAGGGTGGGGACAGGACGGGACCACGCACGCCCGCAGTGATGATGCTGAATATAAGTGAAATAGTGTCATTTGAGTGGGATTTGTAAATAACTAGTCAGGAATATTTCATCGCAAAGGATCAGGAGGTGGGAGAATAAGGGTGATTTTTAAACGAGTTGTTCAGTGAAATGCCCTTATTTCATGACAGGTTAGATAAAAAATTCCAAGTCTTCGGAAAAAGCTGGTTACCTTCCCCCATACAGGTTCAGCGCAGACGACCGAATAAGAAACGTACGCTAACACAACATTAGGGAAGTGACTGAGTGATGGGGACTCAAAATACCGAACATAATTTGGTTTGAAATATGGGAAGAATGCACTTAACACAGCGTAACACGGTAATGAAGCAGGAGGCAAACGTTTTTGTAAAACTCGAACTTGCTTCAGCATAATATGCTGTGGCTTTAAACTTTCTGTGCTTTAGGAGAGCCGCTGTGTTCAAGATGCATTGAGGGACTGCATGGTTGGCACAATGGACACAATAACCCGACAAAACACTTCTTTCACTGCT